TTCAGACCACAGTCGCCTTCTCCCTTGATAGCCTTCCACTCACCGACCCCAAAATTGCACTTTTCTAGCCAGTTTGGTGTCCCTTAGCCTCGGCTTCCCGGGGACGCTATTCCAGCACGCTCTGAGAACTTAGAAGCGAGGCCAACCGACCAAAATCAGGTCTTCCAGCCAGCAAATCGGTCGGGTTCTGGGCCAAGGCCTCCTAATGAACCCTGCGCCTATCCAAGGAGGCCAAATCTATCTGGTTTTGAATAGTCGGGGGTCTTTTTCGATCCTTCCTGAGTATCTGTGGTCTCTTGCGTCTCTGCCCGGAATGCATCAACCATCTTTTCCGTATCTCGGCAAAGATCAGACCACGGCTGTGTTCACACAGCGCCTTGCTGGGGCTGAATTGACCCAGTTTCGGCGTGGCACACCAGTGTCGGTGGAACCTTACCCTGGGCCAACGGGCAGGATTCCCAGCCTCCCAGACATAGACTGATACACCCCTACACCTCTCACCAAGATTACCATTAAACAAACTTTGCCTGTCGTTGGAATGCAGACGGTAGGTCTTTAATAGATCTGGTTAGGCGCGCGCGGTGGGAAGAGAAAACGTGTGTGCGCGCGCGCCCCATCCGAACCTATGTTTCAATACATTTCTCTGTGTTTGCTTGTTTGCTTCTCCGCGTGGCATGGCCCCCTCGCCCTGAAGAGTGGCCCTCCATCCTCCCCCCGCCCTCCCAAGGACGCCGCTGGAGCTCGGCATCCCAAAGCCCCCTGTAGCCCTGAGGCGCAGCCACTACGAAGGGTTGCTCGGCGCGTCCTCTTAGTTAATCGCGTTGTCGGGCTCCTACAGACAACCCCGGGCGAGGCGGGGCGAGGTCGGTACTAGGTTTCCACACCTGATCCGGCTCTCGCCTCCCACAAATCTTCCCACTCGCAGGAAAACAGGGCGCTCGAGAGAAGAGAAGCTGCTGCTTCGTACTTTTCGTGCGCCCCTCGGCCTCTCTTCCAAGCCCCCGTCTCCTCCTCCACACGCCCAGAACCCCAAAAGCCAGGGTCTCTAATGCACCCCCGCGCCCACAACAGAGGGGATTGGGAAAGAGCTTGTAACCCGTTCCGCACCGGCACGCCGCATACAAGGCGGGAGGGGGGGGGGGAGAGAACCACACACACGCGCGCGCAAACCCGCCTCCTCCCACCGACAGGCCGTCCCCCCTCCTCCTCCGAAGCCGACCACATGACGTCGGCC